TGTTAGGGCACCTGCGTCTGTGGGGGGGGGCATCTCGCTCATCCTCCCGCCTCCAGCGCCAAGCACCCTGCCTGGAATGCAATCCATGCAGATAGAATACATGCTTTGGAATATTTTGGGGTCACCTAGAAATGAAACCCTGCAGTTGGTTACCTGTGGGCCACTGAGCTCCCACCATGTGAAACCTCCAAAGAAGCTGAGTAACACATGGCCACCTGTGAGGGCCCCTGTGAGAGGGTTCCCATGGGACACGGGGCTGAGAGTGTGAGTGAGGAGGGCTGAGCTGCGCCTTCTATCTGCTACCCCAGGATCGGAGGGCGCCCCGTTGTACGAAGGATCCCTGTGTGCTGTGACTAGAGGGCTTCGAATAGGCTGCCTCGTCTTTCTCATTTTGAGACGGGTGCGGCACTTTCCTCGTCAGGTTATTGAGAGGGTGACAGAAATCACACCAGTGAAACAGCAGGTAGAGTGCCTGGCAAGCGTACGCACGCAAAAAAGGGCTTACTGAATAATAACTCCAGTCTAGGTCCAGCTCTCCACTAGATGGTGCGACTTCTGTGTATCATGGGCACCTCCACTTAGCATCTCTGGAGAGGAGTCGGTCGCTCCCAGTGCTTACCCCTCAACCCATTTATCACGTCCTCCCCTTCTTCTCCGTCTCCTTGGCTGTGCAGGCTCTAGGTAAGCTCCCCTGTTTTATAGGTTCTGGAGGTTCCCTGCGTCCCTACTGTCTCACCAAGCCCTGACAGAGGCACCGTTCCACAGTGTGCCTGGACCACAAGCGAGGTAGACAGTCCTTGTTTTATTCTGAGGTGGGAAACGGCTCCTGCTCATTAGGGTTTGCCTGTCGCCTCTTGCCTCGGTATTATAGGTGATGCACACAGCAGCTCATTATGTTGGAAACAACTCCTTTCCCCCCTGCATACTGACAAGAGCACCTCAGTGATGCCCACTGTGTACCGGTTAGGTAAGGTGCATAACAAACTGTCCCTAAAGTTGTGACTTCAAACACCAGCATGTTATTTCGCTCACAATTCTATCGGTCAGCAACGTGAGCTGGACTCAGCTGCCTGGTTTCTCAATCTTGGCAGTGACCAGCAGCTGCCAGGATGGGGAGGCTGCTGGCTAGGCTGGGACAGCCTCGGCCAGCACAGCCTGTGTCTCCTCCAGCGGGCTAGCCCAGGCTTGTACACATGGCGGTGGGCAGGTTCCCGGAGAGTGACAGGGTGCCAGGTCTTGAGTCCAGGTTCAGAGCTGGCATGCTGCAACTTCTGCCACATTCTCCGGGTCAAAGCAAGTCACCTGGCCAGCCCAGATTCTGGTGGGGGCAGGGAAGACTTTAGCTCTTGATGAGAGGAGCTTTGACGTCACACCGCAAAGTGATACGGGGGCAGGGAGGAGGACAGTGGCTGCTCTCTTTGCAAACAACCTACCGTGCCCTTTTCACCGCCCCTCTTGAGTGAGAAGCTCCACATGGGAGCCCTCAGGGGGATGGTTTCTGGTGTGAGAAGGGATGTCAGTCGGGTATAGCGGGGACCAGTCACTCATTGCAAGATAGCCACCCAGGGTCTGCATTTCTATGATTATCCCTGTTCATTTATGTCAGGGGTTGGCAAACTTTCTCTCCAAAGAGCTGGATGGTACGTAATGTAGCAGCCTCTGTCGCCACTGCCCAGCCTGGCCACTGCAGCATGAAAGCCGCCACCCCCAGTGCGTCCCCAGGCTCCCCGAGCGCATGCACTGCATTGGCCCCACGGGCTTGTGGGCTGGCTCCTGGTCTGTATTCGGATCTGCACCTATTTGTCCGTTTTTGTTCTGGAGGGTCTCTGTACTGGGGCATCTTGTGGCCAAAGCAACGCGGTGTCAGGTATTACTTTTCTTATCACTGAGGAGTCACTTTCCTGGCTTTTCTTGACTTTCTGTCCAGTCACGGAAGAGTGGTACACCTGCCCAGAGCCCACGGGCCCTCGGAGGCCTGGCCGCACCACTCACCCTCCGCTTTGTCCCAGGGCCGCCCGTCTCCCCACCTTCCAAATGCTGACTCGGCATCTCCCTGAAAATTAGCCCTGGGCCACATTCAATTCCCTGAAATATCATCACAAAGAATATTACAAATAAAAGAATTTGGTAGCATCATTAAATCGTATCATCTTCTTGCTCCAAAGCGAGGCCGCCTTTTCTGGGCTCCAGGCTGGAAGTAACAGCGGAGTATTAAAAAGCAGGCTCTGACAAGTGAATAAAAAGCAAAACTGCACAGCGAAGTGTGCTATTTAATGTAGTGTGTGCGGCGTTTACCCAGGTCTACGTCTGTCACGCATGGCTCTTTTCTGAGAGTGGCACAGACGGGTCTGCATTTGGTTTCCAGAATCAGCAAATTACATTGGCAGAACAAAGCTGTCAGATTTGGTGGTATTTTGTTACAGCCATTATTTCACTTAAGTTTAGACATCTCTTTGCAAAATCAGATCCTACTTTAAAAAATTGCCGTGTTTTGCAACATTAAACAAAATGACAAGCTGGAAAAAAAAAAGTTGATTAGTAAGCAATGTGTTGAGGAAAACTTGTTCAGGTTCAGAAAGGAACACTTAAGTCAACAAATGCAGTCAACTTTCTGATCAACAGGAATGTGGTCTGTAATGTGGTGCAAATATTTTTAATGAAGTTATGCTCATTGAAAGCAGAAAGCTGCACCCTAGGCCGCGGGGGTTGGGCACAGGCGGGGTGGGGGTGGAGGGCTGTCACCACCCACAAGCCCTGCTCGTCCCAGAGCCCCCCAGCCCGGTGGCCCCCTCAGCAGCATGGTCTGATTGGCGAGGCCTGTACAGAGGGGAGGTTTCTCCCTTGCCTTCCCCTCTTTGGCTCCTGTGGACACAACCTTCTTCTCAGACCAGCTTCTGAGAAGGGCAAGTTAGCACACACACAGTCCAAATCTTTCTTCTCTCTACTCGGATAGGTGAAGCATGGGGGTGGGGGGGATCATACTTTACAAAGGAACGTGCAACTGTGCCATAAAATCCCTAGAATGACCACAGCTTGGAGTGGGACCTGCCCGGCTCTTGAGTCTCCTCAGGCTGCGGAGGGGAAAGGTCCTGTTTTTCACAGACCTCTCCAGCGCATAGTCTGTGCAATTGACCACCGGTTCTATGTTTTGGATTCCATTCCTCCCCTGCTTTCTCCTTTCAAGCTGGGAGTCATTGTGGTGATGGAATTTCAAACATGCTTCTTGAAGGGCAGAGGCTGATTAATAATATTTATTCATTCTGGAGGGAGGAGATGAATTTAGAGCCACCACTGAAAGCAGAGGTCATTGAGCTTGTTCTCTAAAGGGCCAGAGTGAATCTTTCAGGATTCTTGGGCCATACAGTCTCTGACCAGTTATTCAACTTTGCTGCTGTAGCTGCCACAGGCAATATGCAAGTGAGGAGCCTCGGTTGTGTCCCAATAAAACTTTATTTACAATATCAGGCAACACAGTGGGCTTGGCTTGTAGATGAGTGTCAGAGCCTTGACTTAAAGTGTAAGAGGGAAAAATGAAGGGGTCTTCAAGGAGATGTGTTTGTGGGTAGTGTAGAGGGGGTGCCTTGGAGGGGAGAGTAATGATCATCACGCAACCGTGGATGAGAGACCATTGTACTTAAATTACACCTAGATGACAGAGCTCCCTGGAGGGAGTAGAATGGCCCAATGATGATGGAGTCAAAAGCATGCTGCATTTTCCTCTTTGAGAACATCCAGTATGTCGTGCTAGATTGTTAGCTACTTGGGGAGGAGGAAAGTAAGAAACCTCCCACGTGCTTAGTGTTGGGATACGTGCTCCTTGTGAGTTGGACATTGCTGACCCATTTCACATAAGAAGACATGAAGGCTCTGAGAGGTGGAATAGATTGTCTATGGGTGCTTTCTTAAAGCTCTTTTCACAGTGGGTTCATCTCCAACTCCTAGCACCTAGTAGAGGTCTGGACTTGCACTGAGGACCTTGTAACTGCTCGTGGAGCTGGATCTTTTCCCTTCCACTGCTGACGCCTTCCGTGGGGAGCCCCCAGGACCGTGGCGTACTCTCCCCTGCACCGCCTTGTGTCTGTAGGCTGCATTTCCTGGGCTCAGGTGTGGCCCCTGGGAGCCTGGGCGGGAGAGGGGTAGCTGGAAGGGCAGAAGGAAGGGAGGGAGAGGCCTGGGCATTTCTCCCCCTCTCTACCCTGAGCCGGGTCTCCTCTGTGGCTGTAGTTCTCCAGGGGAGAAGCCTCTGTGGTCACTCCACCCGGCCCTGGGGCAACACCAACCTTTCCCTTGTCCTCCAGCCTCCCGAGGTAATGGCTTTCTGCTTTTGCAGATTTCTAGGCTGCCTCGATGTCCCCTCTTTGGCTTTTATGTAATTCTACTACTTACTGACCCTGGTTGGACTCTGTCTGATATAGGGTCTGTTTTTTTAAGGCTCCCCTTATTTGTAAATATATCACCTCTTTCAGGTAAAATTTGCATTTTAGGTCTAAACCTTGACCCAGAAGAGTAAATTTAACCAGAGCACGTCTGGGTTGTTTTCAGATAAGGCTATGGAGAAGACGTACACCAGCAGACACACTCCTCAAGCCTGGTCAGTTGGGTGCCCAGCTATTGCACCCATAAACCACACCAACCTTTCAAAATATCAAGGGCCCTGTCCCATGGCATCTCACGTTATTTGTCTATGGTCTTCTTAGTCAATTAACGTTATAAAAAAAAATCCCCTACTTCCTGCTAAGAAATAGAAATTGTAAGGCTATTGTTAAAAAAACAAACTACAGAAATAATACTATTCTGAGGATTTGTTATTCTGCTTCTGATTTCACTCTCATTTTACTTCTTATCTGCAGGAGGGGAGCCTTTTTTGGGGTTGTTATTAAAACAAAACAGGGTCCAAAACCTTTTCCTGTTTTTACTTCTTCATTTCTGTGAATTGAAAACGAAAACTCCAGCGTAGGGAAAACGTGACCTAAAACTTCTTGGCTTTGTGACACGGCTCATTCCACTCCTTCTGTAGATTTCCTTATGACTTGGAGCCCAGAGACAAGCAGAGACATCACGGGCCCATAATTATAGAGCCCTGGGGACAGCCTGTCCTTCTTGTGTTTGGAGTGCGCTTCAGCTGGAATAGGACAGACAATGCGTGTGGAGGCGGCCAACCCTCTCATTTTAATGAAATCCACACTTCCGGTGTACAGCGAAGAAGCCGGGCTCTGAGGTGCTTGGGATCAGCGTGGTTTTTCCGGAAGGCAGCTCTGTGGCTGTGTCCTGATTAAGTGCCCGGTGCTTGTGTGCCTGTGTGCTTGAGTGCGTGCGGGTGCGTGTGTGCAGACGTGTGTGTGTGTGTGTGTGTGTGTGTGTACACTCCTGATTAAACAGAGGGAAGTAATCCGTGTGCTGTTGCTGGCAGACAAAATGAAGTCCAGGAAAGGCTCGATAAACTTCTGAGATTTTTGGTGCTGACGAAACTCAGAGTTAAAGAGAAGGAGAGAGGAAGGGAAGGAGTGGGAGGAAGAACAGGCGTGGTGGTGGTGGTGGGGGGGGGGAAGGAGGGCTTTTTTTTTTTTTCTTGAGATAGTGAATAATGTCATCGTTGATTTAATTAGCAAATTCTGGATGTGCTGACAAAGGAGATTTTCTTGGGAGATGCACTGGGTTGTGTCAATGCTCTAAATGAATAGGCAGAGCCGAGTTCCTGGTAATAACAGTTGAACAACACAACTCGCCAAACCTCAAACAGTGCATAAATCAATTTGCTGGGAATTAACCACTTGCTTCAAAATTAGGGGTTACTTGACAGGGTTTCAGTGATTAGGTTGTCAGGGACCTGTATTTCTAGCTGGGATTTATCTATCATTGATATAAGTGCGTCTCCTCCTGGGCTGCAGACTTGACTCCTGTCTCCTGGGAAGACGCCGGCCGCCTTCTCAAGGGGACAAAGGCAGGTGGCCGGGGGGAGCCCCCCCTGGCACGGGGACAATGCGCTGGCTTCTCCAATTCTTCGTGAAGCCTCCAAGGTTAACAGGACAACTGCGCATGAGGGGATGTATTTTAGAAACCCTCCCACATCACATGAGCCCTTGGATAGCAAAAAGAGCTCCACGATTTGTTGAAGAAGAGACCTAAACATGCACAGTTGCCCAGAGAAATGAATGGAAGGCAAGGAGTCGTTCCAAAGTCACTCAGCTCAGGTGGTTGAAGGCGTCGGGCAGTCGGGGGGTGTGGGGTGTGGGCCTCTGGGACGGGTGCCCATGAGAGGCATGGCCAGGGCCTCCCCTGGGGGCACAGGCCGGAGGGGGAGGGGCAGGGGTGATCCAGTCCTCAGGCCAGCACAGCGCCAGTTGGGGAGGGTTTGCGCCCTGGGGACAGACTCCTTATTCCCCAGACCCTAATTCAGCATTTCCTGCCACTTAGAAACACGCACTCCCATGACAACTCCCTGGCCTGTTAAGTACAGTCCAGAAATTCTATCATGTTCAACCCGTTTTACTCTTCCTCATCCAGCTGGGCCCAGCACCAGGGCCACACACCAGGGAAAGGCTGTGTCTGGTCCCCGCCGCCGCGGCGATCTAGGGCTGGAGCCCCTCCATCCCTAGCATTGCCTTCATTCTTTCCTGCGACTCCAAAGCTCTGCGTGGCCTCCCGCTTCCTGACCCGGGCTTCTGAAAGCAGTTTGGCACGTTCAGTCTGTCCTCCCTGGACAGGTGGCCCTCCTGGGAGGCCCAGCTGTGCCTCTCTCTCTCTCTCTGCTCACCTGACCTTCAGCGCCTCACTGCCACGGTGCTTGGAAGTATCTCAGACCAGCTCCCCTGGATTCTCGGATGCCCAGCCTGCCAGTGTCAAGGTCACCTGAAAGGGGATGAGTTCACTTTTCCGGGGTTAGAATAAAATGTTCCTCTCTCAGTGACTAGAACATTTCACCGCTTTCACTGCTGCAGACTCAGGATTTCCTCTCTGGGAAAGGTTCTCATGTTCATCACACTTCGTTCTCATGTCTCTTCCTGCTCATCTGCTGCCCATTAATTAATCAGTGAAACCCTCCTCAACCTCCCGGAGTCCCCCGCTTGTTTATTCTGATGTCTTCACAAGGCACGTGTTTCTGAGATTGTTCTTCCTCTTCCCTTAAAAAACAAACTGATTTATCAATTTCTGTGGATCGTCCCCCAGCCTCCCCAAACTCCTCCTTACTTTGGCCACATCCGTGGTCTACTGGGGAAAACACTTCGAAGTCTCTAAACTACTTCTTAAAAACAGATTTTTTGAGGTACAATTTGTATTTTATGACATTTACCTGTTTCAAGTGTACAACTCAACGGATTTTTGTAAATTTACAGACTTGCGCAACCATCACCGTAGTCTAACCTCAGAACATTTCCATCATTCGCCTCCCCCTCTCCCGCAAGAACTGTCCGCCCAGGACTCCCCATTTCCTCCCCCCACTCCCCAGTAGCCCAAGGCAACCGTGACTGTACTTTCTGTCTTTGCAGATTTGCCTATCCTGCACATTTCTTATAAATTGGATCTTTCGTGTGGTCTTTCGTGCCCGCTTCTTTCACTCAGTAGAAGGTTTTTGAGGTTCATCCGTGTGTTAGCCTGTCACACTTCATTATTTTTCAGAGCTGAATAGTATCCCATTGTGCACATATACTGCATTTTTTTTTTTTTCTACGCACCTGTTAACAGATATTTGGGTTTTTCTGATCTGAGCTGCAATTTTGCCCCTGGGCCCTACTACCCAAACAGTTCCACTTTATGGATCCTTCTTTCCCTGTTAAAGGCTACGACGTTTGTCCCCTTCCAAGCGGCCCAGAGGTCCTTAAACACATATTTACGCAATACATTTATTCTCCCTGATCCAAATATCCTTTACATAAACCTCTTCCTGTCTTCAGTTTGTGACCTATCATTAATTCGGTCAACCAATTGATTATTTTATATAAAAAAAGCAAGCAAATAAAAATTGTTTGCTTGATTTGAATTTGGTCAAAGAAATGAACAGAAACAATTGATGCAACCTTAAGCTCACTCTTGCTTTCTTACTCCAATATGTTTGCCCACTGACCAAGTGGACCTTCTTAAATTCTTTTTGGGTTTTTTTTGACCTTCTTAAATTCTAGCTGTAAGGACATCTGTAGTTTGGCAAGCTCCTCAAAGCTCCAGCTCCAGATAGTGAGTCTCCTGTTACTTTGGACCTGTGTTATTTGGGGGCCTGCTCTGCTCTGTCTTCAGACACACAGCCCTCCACTCAGTGTTTAAGGAAGATGGTCCTATTTGCTCCCATCTAGTTTGGGCTTATTAGGATCTTTCCAATAAAGGAAACAGCATATTTTGGGGATAGCTATGTATTTTTGGAGAGTCAAATGTGTGAGGAATGCTTATGTGCTGTCGTCTCACTTCTAACAAGAAAGTTGCTGCTGGAATGAATGATTTTAACTTGTTGCTTCAGGAGACAGAGTCCTGTCGAAGCTCCTCCATCTGAGCCTCCATCCCCTCTGTCTAATGGACCTTGCTTTCCGCGGTACCCTTCCTCTTCTGGATTACCTGTTCACTCCCTTCTGGACATCCTCTGGGGCCAATCTAGAACATTCTCTGGCCCACAGGAGGACATAATGCAAGCATCAGTAACTGAAGATGGGATTTTGCTTCTCTTCTGTTTTCCTCAATCACATCACGGTCACAAAAATCACAACAGGAAACTCCTCACGAGCAGGGTGGTGCTCCCTGCCCGCCTCACCCTGAGTCGTGCATGAGGACTCACTGCTCGAAGATCAGCATCTGAGGTGGTGTCTCTTCCTTCCCACTAAGGAATCCCTTCTCTCATGCTGAAAATGGCCACAGGAACAAAAATGGTTCAAAACGAAGCCATTCTCATGATAAAGACAGTAATGAGGACAAAAAATGGCACAAAATCAATTTATTCTCATGACAACCTTAAGATTGTAATGAGGACAAGAAAAACAGTCTGAAATTTATCAATTCTTGTGACAATCTTGAGACGGTAATGAAAGCAGCAAATGGTATGAAATTGGCCTACTCTCCTGACAGACAGTGAAACAAAACCGGAAAATAGCACCATGTTTATCTACCTCCTTGACAACCCGGGCATGGGGACAAAAACAGAAAAGGTGACGAGATTAACCCATTCCTGTCAAAAATAATCTTGAAAGGGTGGCCTCCACATGTCCTTTAAAAATGACCCCCCCACTGAAATGAGTTCCATGTGTGAGCATCGCACCTCGCTGTGGGTTGACGTTCTTCTGGCTTCACCTCAGAGCTGATGGCCATGCTTCCTTATGAGGGAAGGAAAATGAATGTGTGTAGAGGGGCAAGGCGGCCATCGTTCTCCATCAGCGTCTATCTGGCGGTCTCAGAGTGCCCTGGCAATGTGGACTTACCAAAAATCAACTGGGAAGGTGCATATGCATTGGAATGGTACCAATACTCATTCTAGAAACATCCATGAGGGCTTCAAGTGATGAGGGGACTGGAGGATGCAGGCATCTCTAGGATTCAGTGAAACACTGCGGCAGCATATTTCTTAGAAGAATGGAGTGTTTTGGCTTGTGATAACTGAACCAGTCTCTGGGGTTTCCCCGTCTGCATGCCTTGAGCACATCCCTGAGGGAGAAGGATGCACCAGCAGAACGAGTGCTCACTGCAGTGCTTCTGGGTGCTGGTTAATAATTCAGAGTGATGTTCAGTAGGTCTGGAAGTGGGGGCCAGGAACATGCACTTCAAAAAGGGACTGTCATTCCTGAACACACCGAAGTTTGAGAAACATTGATTTACTGTGTGCGGAGGTGGTGGCTTGAAGCACCTGGATTTATGATTCCAAATCAAAGGCCCCACTCACTAATTCCTTCCTGCTCAAACTGCCATGTTCCACCCTTGACATCACTGATGAATAAGCAGTGGAGGGCCAAGTTTTGATGTCAAGTCAGGTGCCAGTCAGCTTTCACTGGGCTTCTAATAATTATTGATGACTGATGAATGACAGGAATAATGGCTTGCTCTGCTCGGCTGGCAACTCTCAGATAATAAAGAGATGGAAGCCCCTCCAGTGTGACCAGTGGTTCTCATTATGAGGAATGCGAGGCAGCCTGATCTTCCTCTTTGTCTATCTGTCTATTGACGGCTCCAGATGACGTGAGTGATAGGGAAGATGAATATTTTTTATTTGCTTCTTGCAAGTAGGTCAATTTCTTCATTATCGCATTCCTTAAACAATTGGAGGCTGAGCTGAACTCTTGCATTTCTAGTGGAGTTTCTCCATTTTCTTTCATCTCTTTCGTTGATGGCAGTCTTCTCGTATTTTTTTGCAGAGTTCAGAGGGTTGGATCTAAATTATAATGTTTTGTCCAATGCTCTGGGTTCAGCGTCTTTCATCCTCACGTTGTTTTAGGATGAGCTGGTCACGTGATGGCTATGGTAGCATTTCACATTATTTCCCCATGTCCCCTCTCTGGATTCCTCTCTCTCTATCAGTGGCCTTAATAGTCTGAATATTTTCAGTCAGGCTCAAGTCAGGCTGTTGCTGAAGGAGCCATTACAGGAGTGGGTGAGGAGGAATATATAAGGATTGCTTTTAGGTTAATACGAATTTTGTCGTCTGACAACTTTACACGATTCTGTATTTTATTCTAGCAATTCTAGATGGCCCAGGAGCCTCGAAATTGGATACAAGGTTGGGGATTTTCAGATCAATGTCAGTAGACATGCCAGAGGTCGAAGGGAGTTTAAGGTGGTAGAGAAGGCAACTTTCCAGTAGGTAACCTCGATTCAGGGTCCAGCAGAGTCATGAGGCTAATTGTTTGGTTGAGTTGGGAGGGGGTGAGTGATAGGTAAGGACAGTGCCTCTTGCTCGCTAGGGCTGGGAGAGGGGGACAGCACGTGCCAGCAAGAAGGAGCATGAGAGAGAAAGAGAAAGAGACCAAGATCCACACATAAACACCGTTATAAATTGAAGACAACCAATTAAATCACTCCTTGGTGTTCTCTTTTTATTTAGTCTAAATTATCTTGAGTGTCTTTTAGCCTTTGTTCAAGGAACCCAGCTTCTTCTTAATCATTTTTGTCATGCTTTTCTGTGTGCTCTCCAGGTTTCCCGTAAGTTCAGAAGTGTTATCTCATTTCTTTTCCCAGCTTACCCGTGAGGTAAGGAAGGGTCATTGCCAAGCTCAGATTTACGGATTGGGTGAAGGGGAGGCACACGAGGAGGGGGCAATTTACTCAAGGTCAAACTGCAAGGAGGTGTCAGGGCCAGACTTGGAGCAGGTCCTCAGATTCTCCCCCCTCTGCTCCTGGGAGCTATCACACTCCATTTCAGAACTCCTTTTAAAGGACTTCTGGGTTGTTTCATTAAGAATTGTATTTGCAAAAAGTTGCATGAGGATGTAAAAAGCACTGTCACGTGGATGCTTGTCTCTGTTTCTTCTTCGTGCACTTACTTGGGCCGTGTTTGCCTTTGCTCACACACAAGTGCCTTGTAACAGAGGTCCGACAAATGGCTAAATTTCACATTTCTTGGTAGTAAACGATCCCTAATGAATTTTGATGGCCATGTGATTCTTTTCACACTGGTCTGTGGGCACGTTGTTTAGGAAAAGTCCGAGAGAAGATACCAAGTCTGAGATGCTGAGGGACCATGTCCAATTTCAGGTCTGCACACAATCCAGAAAAGGAGGAAGGTCCCGTTTCATGTGCATGTTGGACGTACCCTTGTTCCAAAATTCGTCCTTAATGATTTCCAGCCCAGGAGTCATGTCAATGTAGAGAATCACCGGAAAATTTTCCAGATTTTTTCCTGTCATGAAACGTTGCTGTCTTGGAAACGGCATGGCATATAGCAAGTTGTCAGGCCCACATCCTTTGGGGTTTACGGCAGTGATGTGTTGTCAAAACGGGCTTTGCTAAAGCTAAGTGCCCATGGCCAAAATAATCCTTAGTACATAGGTGATACTCAATGAACTGTTAAGAACGACTTCTTCCACGTTCATCTATTGTTTCCAAATGGACAGAAACCACATAATGTTTTGGGTGTTCGAGTGATTCTTGGTCTAATGTTTCTCTCCCTGATTATCTAGTGAACCCCATCAGGGAAGGGAGTATTTCTGTTTTGCCTCTCACTGTATCGCTATGCTGAGCACCGAGCTCTGCACATAGTAGAGTCTCAACAAATATTTGTTCAGTGGATTAATTTATTAATGAAAGAACACATAAATGAGCCTACCTCCCCTCTTCTCCAGATTTGGGGAGAAGGAAGCAAATCTGATCTTGTTACGTCCTCCCTAAAAGTCTTCAGCTGCTCATTATCGCGTTAGGATAAATTTCATTCATTCAGTCATTCATGAAAAATTTATTAGCTACCACTCACTCATGGTGCGCACCATGCTAAACCAAAAAGAAGACAAAAGAGGAGACACAGAAGAGGAGGAGGAGGGGAGAACTGCTGTCCTGCCATTGGTCACCGTCTACCAGGTGGGACCAACGCAGCTGAGTGAGGTCTGGGTAAGGACACGATGGTACATTTAGGGGAGAAACAAGGCCAGGTCAGTTCAAAGGGTTCACAACAGGCGATGATGCATCAGGATGTTGGGCAAATCCTGAAAGCTGATGAGGGAGAGGTGAGTGGGTGCGTATGTGGGGGGTGGGGCATGGAGAAAGCAAACATTTCAGGCAGGAGGACAAGTAGAAGGGAAGGAGAGGCAGCAGGAACCCTCTTGCAGGTGCCGTCGGAGCCATGGCTCGGCACACACCACCCCTGCTGCTGGGTGCCCATCGGCCCTTCCTGGCTCCGCCTTGGCTGAAGCTCTCCCTGCCTGGGCTGTGCTCTGCTTTAGCCAAACCAAAGCGCTTGTCCTCTAGTAATCCCCAAGCCTGGGGTGCTTGTGCCCCTCCTCCTTCCCACACGCAACCCCTCCCACATGGATGCCCCAGCCTCTCCTGCACCTTGCCGGTTCCTGCTGACCTTTTCAGACGGGTGTGTGGGGTCCTCTGAGACATCCATTCTGATCCCCTATCCGGTTTATACCCCCTTTCTGCTCCTGCTGGGCTTTGTGCACACCTCTTGGAAGTAGTGCTTATTTTTGGTTGACTTGGTGTGCTAACCAATTAATTTTTTATTGAACAAATAAATGAGGCATCTAGTGTGGGTGGGAATGTGAACTGCCCTCCAGCTATGTGCTCAGACTGCAGGTAATTTCATAGACATTCATCTTCTCAACGTGGGACCACCATCAAAGTGGGACACCATGGCAGCTTCTGGAAAGTGAAGGCCATGTCTTCCTCTGTATTACATTTTCCTCTGCCTTGGACGTAAGTGATAGACTGGTTAGCCCACCACAGAACCCACATCCCCAAATAAAGGTTGTTCTTTCCAAAGTAATCACCTTGATAGGTATGATGATTTTGCGTTGCCAGAATAGGCCCAATCCTGGCTCTGCCACCTATGAACTGGGAGACTGTGGGTAGGCTCTGGTTTTCTCATCTGAGTGGAAGAGTTTCTCTGCTTGGCAGGTTTTTAATAGAGTGCTGAATCTGAACCGAAATATTCTTTATCCTCTTGGAGGAACTGCCTTCAGAATCTGTGGCAAGTCCCTTTGGATGTCCCCGGGAAGATGGATCCTTTTGACTTGTGACAAAGCCAAGCGCCATCTATGGATAATTATTAAATAAGATGAAGGACTAAGCTATTATCGCATTTTCTCCTTCTTTTCCTCATCTTTTTTTGTTTTTGTTCTTGTTTTTTCCCCCCCACGAAGGATGGGTTCGCACAAATGCGAGCAGGACCAGTCCTGGGAGGTAGCTACGTGCGGCCGAATCGGGACGTGGGAGACCTGAGGTTCTGGTTGAAGCCCCGCTGCTGGTTCCCCCAGGGTCTCAGCAGTCACACGCACACCACCTTGACGCCAACTATCCGCCTCCTCAGCACTGACCTGCATGGACATGGCTGAGGGAAGCGTTTAGGCAGCTTTGCATCAGCAAATACTCAAGAGTGTGATTATGGCAGCCGGAATTGCTGTGGTTTGTTCTCCTCTCTTTACTGTTCTAAGTTTCTCTCTGATTTTACGGATGCCTTCCACACTGGTATATCCAAAGTGCTAGATTGTGTGAAGCTGGGGCCTAGGGGACCGAGGAGTTATTTATAAAACATTTCCTCTGAAAGATCAACAATATCAGTAAGACACAAGAAAAACGCATACCTCCTCTAATGGTGTAAAAGAGCCTAATTCGGTGCATAGCCCAAAAATGTGTATATTTATTGGTAGTACTCTTTTTCTCTTTTCCTTCAAAGTTTCCAAATCTTGGAAATTAAAACAAACAAACAAACAAACAGTACTGATTGCAGGGTTAAAAATCAGCAGCTGTCAGACGAACTGGTTGAACATCAGCATTACTGGTCAAAAGGGGGCTCAATTTAGAGTCTTATGAGAACGTCACCTGTGCGTGAAGAGGTCCCTTCCTTTCTCGTCCCACCAGGGGAGGTGGTCTGGCCATATTCCCTTTCTGGACTGAGAGTGTGGCCCCCAAAGAACAAAGGGCAGAGTGAGGGGCCGTGCTTCTGTGGCCCGGCCTGCCGGCCGTCTCCCATGCTCAGTCAGGAGCTCTGCCAACTACCCCTGCCCTAGACCTGGGGAGTTAGGGCCAGTGTCACTCTTACCTTCGGCCAGCGCTCACCCTGACCCAGCTCTGCAGCAACATCAAGCTCTGTCATCGCCAGGTTTGGACGACTCCATCTAAGAGACCATTTTCAACTGTACGGTTCTACGCATCTTTGATTTTTCTCACACGGGCAGTTCCAAAATAAGAATTCCAATTATATTTTGAGCAAAGACAACAGTGCTGAAACATGCCAATATGCCTCCTTGGAAGGAAACAATAGTCACTTAGCAGTGTATCTCCTGGGATTTGGTGGTTACTATATATTCAAAACAATTTGTGACTTTACTTTTTAGGAATGGAATTAGGGAACATTACCAATTCCAGCTCATAAATAATGAATAAACAAAGACCCCAAAGTTAAATTTCAGTGGCCTACAGTTTGTGAACACATTGA